GACCGCGAATCCTCATGGTCTCATCGTGCGTCAGAGCTTGAAATGGCCGCTGCCCTTGATAACCATCGTAAGTTAATCCGGCTGATACAGGAAACCGGCAGCAAGAGACCTGTTGTTAGTGAAACCATACGTGACAAGAGTGGACAGCCTATCCACAATTTGTCAAAACGCTTGGAGCGTTGGGCTGTGCAATTTGAAAGCCAATTTAATCGGTCGGAATTGTTAGATTACCCGCCGGCCACTGATCACCCTGCTCTGTGGGCTGTCCCTTTGGATCCACCCTCTCGCTCAGAAGTCGAACGTGAGATCACACTGTTGAAGTTAAGTAAAGCTGCGGGACCAGATGATCTTCCACCAGCCCTCTTCAAATTCTGGGGAACTGTTCTTCTCGGTGATTTATACGAGTTACTGGTGAAAGTGTGCGAACAGGAAACTGTCCGATCCGACTGGAGCCGTTCTGTCATAGTCCAAATTTTCGAGGAGGCTCACGGTCGGAATGCGGCAACCATAGAGGAATCAGTCTGATCTCCATTGCCTCCAAATTTCTTGCCTCTGTCATCCTTCACAGACTGATTGGCGCTCGTGAAAGCCATATTGGTGAAGAGCAAGCCGGGTTTCGTCGAGGTCGTGGTTGCATTAATCACATCACTTTGCGTCAGTTGTTGGAGCACCGTCACACATATTGGCGGCCCACCGTATTCGTGTTCCTCGACATCAAACGTGCATTCGGCTCGGTGGATTGACGGGCACTTTGAGACTGTTTACTCAGGAAAGGTGTACCTGAGAAATATGTTAATATTATCCGAGCGTTATACGCGCGTAGGACGGGCAGAGTGAGGGCTTACGGCAAGCTGTCGCCACCCTTCAGTATCTCCAGCGGTGTGGGACAAGGATGCCCGCTGCCCCCTTTACTCTTCGACTTCGCTATTGACGAAGTCATGAAAATCGCGTTCACAGGACACGACTTAGAAGGTGTGGATCTGCTCCCAGGAGAACAACTTTTTGAATTGGAGTATGCAGACGACATTGCCCTCATCTGTGTCTGCTCCCAGACGTGCCAAGCGGCACTGGACAGATTAGTTCTGACTGTCAGCCGCTTCGGGCTTTGCTTCGCACCCTCTAAGTGCAGAGCTTTCCTCCAAGGTTGGCCTGGACCGCCTCCTTCGCTGACCCTTCGTGAGGTTCAGATAGAAGTCGTTCGGAAATTTACCTACCTGTGAAGTTGTATCACCACCCGTGGGATTGAAGATAAGATCACGAATCGTATAGCAAAAGCTCGAGTTGCTTTTGCTATCCTTCGCCACTTATGGCGCCGGCGCGACATTACTCTCACCATGAAGGGTAGAGTGTACAATGCAGCAGTACGTTCGACCCTACTGTACCGTTGGTAAACCTGGCCCCTTAGATCAGCGGACATAAAGTGGCTAGTTACGTTCGACCGCCGGTGCCTTCGCAATTTAGCTCACATCTGGTGGGAACACCGCGTGAGCAACGAGCGTGTTCGACGCCTTGTTTACGGCACAGGAAAAGGAAATGAACCGCTCAGCACCGTCATTTCACGCACCAGGCTCCGATGGCTGGGCCACATGTTGCGCATGCCAGTCCACCGACTTCCACGAAGTGCCTTGTTTGCGCGCCGGGAGTGTGGATGGAGGAAGAGGAGGGGTGGCCAGGCGATGACTTGGTCGAGAGGAATGAAGGCCCTCACTTCGGAGTTAGCCTCGGTTGGAGCTTCTCGGCTCCGTGGTTGGGGTACAAAAGACGATGAACACGTTTGACTGGATACACTTTTGATATGACTAGGAGCCGATCTCAGTGGCGTTCCTGCTGTGAGTTTTTTTGTCCCGCCCCATTCGTCTTAGTATCCCTTTCCAACCACGATCTCACTATTTAGGCTTTTATAATTTTGCATAGTGAATTGTTTTTTTCTGCTTCATAGTATCCGGCAGGTAGCTTACTGGAACGATGCCGATCCGTTACTGGTAGCTCAGCTGGCTTGCACCCTGTACGCCTTAGCTAGAGGTGGGAAACATCTCAGCTACTGTGCCGTAAGACATAAAAGAAAAAAGGGAAGAAAATGCAACAGGTGCAAGCCAGTTTAGCTACCAGTAACGGATGGGCATCGTTCCAGTAAGCTACCTGCCTTGAAGGATCTAGGCGTACTCTCACGTTGCGATTTGGACTCCACTAACAACATGAACCGATCACACTGAAACAGACTGCGCATCTTCTCGGCGATCGAACGCAGGTTCTGCATCTTGTCCACCGGCTTGTCCAACTACTCGAGGCGAAACGCGGAAGATTTTACGAGTCTAATATCTCGCTACCAAACTCGTCTCCTTTTTGCCGGGCTTACCGTACGGTGATAGGTGCTAGAGACTGGGGCTACACACTCTGGTCCATCGTCGGTTGGTAGTCGGCTTCATCATGGCTTATCGCATTGTGCATCTACGTGACTTCCCCATGCTAAGGCCACTAATCGACTTGCTAACATATTGCAGAACACACGGGCACAAGTACAAGCTTGTTGTTCCATACCTGGAGCGATTTCTCTATCCCCTGTGTTTTGAACGGCGAGTGTTAAATGTCTAGAACGGTTTGTCGGGGCATGGCACGGAAGCAAACTCATTGTAGCACTTCAAAACATTGTTGGATGTGGATTTCTCCAATGTTACATTCCGAGAACGATTACCCACTGATAACTCATATTTTTTGGTTCCCAATTTACTGTAGGCCACACGTTTTTACGGTATCAAGTGAGAAATTGAAAAACGAGCGAGATGTCGACATGTCATAGGTATTTTGCTTTTGTAAACCTTTTTGATCATGTATTAATGGAGTCGTACGGCTTTACTTTTTTACTTGTTCCCATAATGCAGCAATCAGTATGGGTACCGTCTACACATTCGTCCACCACTGAAGCAACTGTGTATTAAAAAGTGCAGACTTATCAATACGAGCTAACTGTTTGTGAGGTGTCTTTCTGTAGCTCTAAAAGCCAAGATTAAAAGGTTATACAGCTTGTACATTTAAGCCGTTTTAGGAAAACACAGTTGTCGGGATCTGTGGGAGCTCTTTATGTATCAATCCTGCAAAAATTCCAATATTCCGCTTCTTACGGTGGATCTGAGTAAGCTCAACCCTTATTTCAACTCCTCATTATTAGACAAGTTCCCCCGCTTTCCTTCCTCACCACTAATGCTCCCACCTTAATCGACCACGGTAGCGTTTGCTGGGAACTCACAAGACTGAAGCCAAACGAAACTAGTGTACCTGATGCACCGTCACCAATTACCATGAAAACCCGCGCGGAGGCATTAAAGCCACCTCTAATAAGTTTTCAACTGTTTAACAACTGATACCACCGTTTATATTTGGAAAGTAGCCAGAATACACCTGTGTCAAAGAAAGAATCACATAAGTCTCGACCAATAGCGTGCATCTCTTCTGTTGTAGGTGTTTACAACTACTAATCCCCCGCATTTTTACATGCGATTCTACGTATGGTATCAAATAGTTTGCCTGCAAGCCAGGGCGCTCAACACTGGATGCTGATGTTCGTACCTAGTATGTTCCTTTATATCTGCTTTGAATACAAAATGAAAGACCGTACGGCTCCTGTTCCTCGATTATACCTTTGGGAGTACTAGCAGATCTTTATTGCAGAAACTTTTGTACAAAAACAGCGTTCCTCCATATGCATGTTAGGTGATGCGCGTGACAACTTTACTAATCGCATACACTTCCAACGGTTATTTGATAGGTTTGGCGCAATCCTAGTCAAATGTTTTGTTTTGCAAAAGGAGCTTTCTCTGTTCTCCCCCTCTACGTTCAATGTCAGCCCATACTATTCAGGTCCACGGTCCACGCTGGTGACGTCACACTTGGGTGTATAATCCTAGTAATTGAATTAAGGAATCGTTGACACTCCAACCAGGATTAAATGAACTCTTGACTTGGTCAAGGCCTTCCGAGTGTTATGATGTCTCATTCTCATACTCCGCCCCAACAGATTGCGTTCTTTTTTAAATATCGCTTCTCGTTTGGTAGTAAGTAACTAAAATATCCCTACTTTTTCCATCTCTAAACTACCTCGGTGTTTTCTTCTCCTGGTCGGTACGTACTATTGAACCTCTACAAAAATTCAGAGCACTATTCTTTTATACCCACGTTTAAAATGCTCTGCGTACTCCATGCTAGAATCCCAAGGTTTGTAAATACATGTCTTCTTCTCTATTTGTTGTACCTTTTCCTTGTTATCTCGCTGGAACTTCTTCTAAAAGATTTTACACCTCTTGTACGCCCACTAAAATTTATTTCCCGATAATCTGGATTAAGCGAGGATTCCCCCTTTGATTTTCTGTTTAGTAGACATTTTGACACATGATTCAGCTTTTCATCCAGGATGCTAAACGACCCTTAACCCCCTAGCCAGTAGGTTATCTATTTCTTCCGCGTAATTGAAATCTAAAGTTTTATTTTCTCGTACTTCATCGTATTGCAACTCCACCTTGCTATATCCTGTCTCGTTTGCTAGTAATGATGATTATTTGCAGGACCGTTTGCTCGGTTGAATATAGAAACCCTTTTTGTTTTCCTCGTCAGTTTACATTTTCCCCCATTGCTGCTGTGTTGTAGTGATCCGCAGTGTTTGTATGTGAATTACTGAAAATGCTCCCACTTGGATTGACTTAGCTTCTACCAGGACCATTTGCACTCGATTTTCGAACTTTGTTCAGACCGATCCAAGCAAATAACAATCTGTTTTTCATATTTCTCCACGCTTTTTTCCCGTGGCTTCATGTGGAATATCTACTGGTATGAGTTTAACCCATTAATCGCGGTATTTTCGAGATCGGGTGCCAGTTGCTCCTAGCTAAACTTAACGAGGAGCGTGCGTGAGGTGGAGACAGGTCTCTCAGTTGTCTGTAGTCAACCTTGAAATTTCATCCTTAGAGGTCTTTAAATTTGACGCTATGACAATTATTATTTCCTTTCAGCATAAACAGGTTGCTTTCGCGGTGCGCACAAACATTAGTTTCGATGCTGCTGTATACGGAGGAGATGCTCCCTCGCCCAACCGGGTCATTTCGTTTGAGGCCAGAGAGTTCCTGCACATCAAAAAACGTTTCGATCCCTACTGGTGGATCGGTCGCAGGGTTCACATCGGCAGTCCACTCGGTTTTATCCCAAGCCCTGCTAAATTAGAAATTATCCATGGGAACCTGTACTCTAATTTCATGGCAGCTCAACAAAACACTACAGAATCCCATATGAATCAAGCGGCGAACGTGAACAGTTTAGGTCACACTGGGAAACTCCGTAAGTCGATACTCTCACTGTGAGGCCCACTGCTCCTTAAATCGTATACACTATACATATATGTCAAGTAGAGTATTCATTTTCTCATTCACTGACTTGTGCGAGTGTTATTTCATCGGTCTAATTAGCTGCTGGATATTCCTCTAGGAATAGGTGTCGGATTCTTATCGCATGAAATGAAAATGGCGCATCTGTTTAGATTACTCAGCTATCTGTCGAAAGCACCAGTTTACTGTCGGGCAGTAGGACGCTGACGTTTCAGTTTTATCTGGTGTTGGGCTTCGATTATGTGTGGTTGTTTGATCATTTCGACAGCGTTCATGTAGAATTACACATATTTAATTGTCTCTGCTAGCTCAAATGATTCTGTTCAAAACGTTCTCAAGACGTAACTCACCGCGATATAACGGTTTAGGTAAGTTGTTAGTACTTCCTCATGTAGACACGTTAATAGTTGGCGTTTAACTATACTCATCCTCAGCATTCTCGTCACTGAACATAGGGAGGAGGTCAGTGTCCCTTTCCTTCAAAACCGGTTAAGGATTATACACACCTACGGATTGTCTCAGAAGGTGAGAGAGTACCCCCACCCAAATTAAACTTTATTGCTTTCGCTCACAAACATGCAAGCGTACCCAGACTTACTTTCGGTGGATCGCTGTTGCAGTTACATAACGTTTAGGTGCCCAGCCTACATGGGAATCTGCTGTTTCCCTCACTGGTAGGACGGATAACCTACTTTAAGACAAATTGCTGATTCAAAGACTCTGGGCCGGGTTCCTCAAGTAAAGCTCCATTTGCATTGCTACATTATATAGCATACCGGCTAGTCTAAAGTTGGACTCGGGTGATTTTCAACGAACCTCTTCTTTCGGATTGGTTAACTCGGGAGTGTCATCTGATCACGAGGAACATTTTCCAGTAATCTTCTTCGATATCACTTCGTAAAAATCGTCTCTACTTAAACGACAAAGATCAGTACAGGCTTTGCTCCCCACATGAGCAACTTTAACATGAAGTGACAGTTTGCGTACGATCTCGACCCTTTGAGCTACTCTGAGTTATGCCTCCAGGCTCCTTGAAAGCTACTCCTGCCACGTTGGTCAATGGTTAGAGGTCAAAAATCAGTCTCGTGGATCTCTAGACCCCTTGGGTTGGAAATGGGATGGCGGCTATTTCTGTAAAGTTAGATCGCTGCCCAGCGGGTAGTCTTTTGAGCTAAAGGTTTTGTTGGAGGACCCTACTCGTCCTCCTGTGTAGGTCTGGGTGTCCTGGCAGTATCAGCCCCAACTTCAACCACATCCTCCGTCGGCCCTCGCGCAGATTATCAAGCGTCGCCTTATCTGCTGCATACAGCAGAGCGGATAAGCGAAAACATGCTACCGCTGGCGCCTCTCTTCTTTCTTTTCCACCTGTTTCTCTTACTCCTCTCTTATCCCCCATTACTAGCCTTCCCTCTATAATTCCCGGCTTAATTGACAACAACCGAGATACCGCTGGAGTCACAACATCTGCAGCTATCTTCCCGCACCACTCTCTGGACGCCTATCGTCAACAGCTCCTTATAAGGCCACGCTGTCCCGTTTCGTTGGTGACGTTCAACGTTTGCACTCTAAGACAACAAACTGCATTTGCACGCAGGTTAGCCACGCTGGGTATTGACGTATGTTGTGCGTCCGAAACTAGGATCAGTGACGCTCACGGAGTTGTTGAACTAACTGCACCCGGTTTGTCCTATCGCTATTGGTTGCATGCATCCGGAGACGTCGATGCGACAAGCACTGGTCAAGCTGGAGTGGGCATTGTTCTCAAGTCCAAGGCCTACTCATGGTTGGTTGGTTGGATTCCGGTTAATAGCCGTTTGTGTGCAGTCCGTTTGTCGACATCATCTAAGGTTGATTCACGAAGTAGCGCTAAACGCGGTTTGTTTGTGATTTCCGCTTATGCTCCCACTTATTGCAGCTCTGCCGGCTCTGTCGGCCGGTGGCGGAGTGGTCTGCACGTTTGCTTTGCAACTATAAGGTCACCCGTTCGAATCCGCGTAGGGATGTTCGTCCTCGCGGTATACTCAGCCCGCGCGCGACTGTTGGTGGTCGTGCGGCAGCGAAGCGCCGTTATGGCGTACAGCTGACACATTATTGCAGCTCTGATGCTGGGAAGGCCGCTTGCTATCACCAACTGAACACGTTACTACGCAGTGTTAACGGTTCCGACGAGCATCGTGCGCAGCCTGGAGTCCCTGAAGATCAACGTCCGATTCCACTGCGACGACACCAACCTTCGCAAGGTGAGGGCGAAACCACGGTCTTAGTGAAATCAGCGTCTGGTCTGCGGAGTAGGTGACCGAACCACTGAAGTCTACGGCGTTAGATGGGCGCTGAGTGCTTCGGAAGACTGTAACAGCTCTTTCGAACTCCGTCGTTTTTTGACACGCTTATACCACGGCATTTTCAAGATAAGCCTTAGGGACCAATGCTCGATGACTTCCAGCTTCCGAGTGTTTTCAGATCGCAGCCACCTTGTTTCGCAACCACTGAGTAAAGTGGCTTGAATGATTGCTGAAAATACTCGGATTTTCATTCGTGGGCTAGTTTCCGTCTTTCGCCACAAGGTATTTCTCCGTTTCAAAAAGGCTGTTCCGGTGGTGTCACTACGGTACCGGATTTCGGATGTAGCCTGACCATTGGGAAGAATAGTGAATCCAAGGTATTTGAATTCAGGAACAGATTCGATACGTTGTCCATGTAAGGAGAGCGACGGGGCGGCCTGGGTGGCTGACGATGAGAAGTACTTCATCTTGCTGACCCGACTCATTGAATTGTTGAATACAAGCCATTATATTTACCATTAGCCATTATAACTACTACTACTAGTGCTGCCATCAAAGGCATTTTTGATATCACACTGGCCCTTTTCGTCGGCCCGTAGCCTAATGGCAATGAGCTTGTCACGTAAACTTGCGGCGCGGGTTCGAATCCGCTTAGGGGTGGGCGTCCTCGCGGTATACTCAGCCCGCGTGCGGCTAGTGGTGGTCGCACGGCAGCGAAGCGCCGTTACGGCGCACAGCTAACACATTATAGTATTTCCTCGGGTGAACCATCCTTTTGAATAGTGGGAAACAAAAGGTATTCCCAACCTCTGCGTTATTGTGATCTATATTTAACCTGTCATTAGTTACCCATTACAAATTCTACTTTGGGGTTCGCTTAATTAGGCCTGTTTCCGTGTTATCGTTTTATGCATTCCCTTTCATCCAGTCGAATGTCATTCCATCAATCAGTCATTCACCAACCAACGGAGGCCTCACATTTTTGCTACTGCACTGACATACGGGATCGTTGACGCAACCACGCTAAGTGTGGTTCTTTTTACTGCGTACAGCGCATCTCACTACTGAGTTGCTTCTTGTTTGTTCTAAAAGCATTCACTGACCAATTAGCCGTTGTGCTACTTTGTGGTTGCCCGCAATGTGCCTTATCCACCAGTCTATTCTGTGCGACGAACGTTTGCTGAAACTACCGAGATGCAATTTCGACCCATCCTTAGTCGCCGGGTTTGTTCGTCACTTTGTACACACAGTGATACAATCCCGACTGGCATCGTGCTGATTTTGAGGTAACCGGTTCACATCCGGACTACTAAAATGCAATCCGAGCTAGAAGTGCTTCTTAGGCTTACTGTTGTCTACTTCACATGCTTCTATGGAGCAACTTCCGTTCAAACTCTTTAATGGCGGCTATCCATGGAGATATTCGAATGTGTTTCTTCATAGCGGTTAATAGAGCAGTTAATCCATTGGACTACTGTGCAACGACTATGGTGGTAATGAGAAACTTGTTTTGTATGTTGCTTTGGTCTTACGCAACTTGCCTTAAACCAAAATGTCGTCGTTTTCCATCTTTTTTCAGCTACAAACGAAGGAGATGGAACAATGGAACGAAATCGACTCAGAGGACTATTCATGGGAGGATCAGAGTACGTTTGCTTCCACCACCGACACCGATTCTTTTCCAATAACCGCGCTGTATTAGGGATATTGTCCAATACTTCTGAAAACCAAATGATGCGTTGTCAAGATGTATCATCTTTGAAACAATGGAATGGTGACTATTTTTGGGGGTATTCAAAACTTAACAAGCGTAAAATTCACTGTTTGCATAGTAAACGTTACGCACAAGTAAAGCAGCTTACTACGATTCTACAGGAGTTTTTGTGAGTACAGCTTTATTTGCAATAGGTTGTCTCCTGATGAACACGCACAATTGGGGACCGATCTCATCGTCAAGTTGCTTCTTAGGACGGGTGACATGAGCGCGTAAATGCTTTAAGTTATAAGGACGTTCTGTGACTGACTAAGTCGGAGGGAGAAATTCCGGCGATGTGTGAAACAGCGGAACTATACTTCCAATTTCAGTTGGCGAACCATTCTCGACCATCCACTCCAATGTTGTTCAAGCAAGTCAGTTAGTTGATTAGTTCAACTGGCTGCACTCGCACGCACGTCGGACACCCTAAGTATTGACGTATGTTGTGTGTCGGAAACTAGGGTCAATGATCCTCACAGGGTTGCTGAATTAACTACGCTATTGTTTGCACGCATCCAGAGACGCTGATACGGCAGTAGCTGGTCAAGGTGGAGATGACATTATTGTCAGCTTTAAGGCTCAACAGCCGTTTGTGTGCAGCTTGTTCGACGACATCAACTATGGTGCATTCATGAAGTAGCGCTAGACGCTGTTTGTGGTTTCACAGTATGTCCCCACCGACCAGTTCTGATGCTGACAAGGACACTTTCTACCACCAACATAACATGCTACAACGCATTGTTACTAGTTCCGATGTTGTTACGGAGGATATGAATGTGCATTAGGTTGTCGTGAATCTTCAGGAACCCAGTTAGGTCCTAATTATGGATTTAATTCTGACCGAACGGACAGCGACGAGCGTCTGTTGCAACTGTGCGCAGAGCACCGGTTGTTTCTTATCAGCACTGTTTTTACGCACAGTGGGCGTTGTATTGCTACTTAACCTCCTCTTGTAGCTAGCTAGCGATGCACCCATAGGTTGCAGGTGGCGTGGTTCCATCCTGGATTTCCGCTGGTTCTGGGCTACTTGCGTCGATTCTGATCATGTCTTGGTACGCTGTCGTTTTTCCATGAACTTTACCAGGAAGCTTACCACCAAGCGTTTTCCTCCATTGGCAACTGAGAAATTATATCGGCCCTCGACTGTGCAAGCCCACCAGAATACCCTTCTTACCTAACTTTTCCTCTCTTCCTAATGTCACCGAGCTTCAGTCGGATAGTATTTCGGCCGAACCACTGGTCCCAAAATATCACCCTACAGTCAGACTGTCTGAGACAGTACGGGTGCCCTGCTCCACCATAAGGAGCACCGTATTTTTCATTTGGTGGAGCACTCTCAAAATCAGTTCAATTGGCCTCCTGCTTCCGGACCTCTTCTTACTCAGGTGATGCAGGATGAGCCATGGATGGTTAGTTTAGAGTCTTCTTCGGAGGCTGAGATTCGAAACGCGTTCACAATCCTCAATCGGCATAGTGGGCTGACCCGGATTCCCTCGCACCTTCACGATTTAAAGATGGAGGTGATTTTGTCTGCAAAGTACTGACCTCTCTGTTCGAACATGTATGGAATTAGGAAACCGTCCCGGCTAATTGGAGCGAGTTGATTATAGTGGTCATATACAAGAGGGGCAGTCGTACCGACTGTGCTAACCACAGGTATATTAAGCTAACGCCGGTGGTGACAGAATTTATGACCTGGATTCTCGTTCGTCACTTCACTACGGAACGGGAATCCCGGATAAGCGTAGAGGAAGCAGATTTCCGCCCATGACAGGGCGATGTAGACCATATATTTACTTTGGGGCAGGTGCTAGAACACCGCAACACTTCCGCAGGCTGACAGTAGATGAAGTTCTCGACTTTATGGGGGTGTTTTACTCAGTCGATCGATCCGTTCTGTTCATACTACTGTCCTATACTCTAACACCACAGTTCGCGTCAGGGTCTACGGTGACTTGTCGGATAGCTCATCGACGACAAGTGGCATCAATTTCCCCGTTTTTGTTTAATTTCCTCGTGGACTCTATCATGGAGTGTACCCGTACGGAGTCTCACGATGTAGGCGTTGAGATGTTGCATGGGTAAAGAATAGTTAATCATGACTATCTGGACGAGATCGTCTTGCTTTTTACGATGTTGTGGCAGCCTAAACAACACTGGATAACCTCACTAGAGTTGCTTCACCATATGGTATGCGCTTCACACATACACCCTGAAGGTTTTGTTGCGGGATCACCAACCACTTGATGACCCCTTGACCCTTGTGCACGAGGAAAAGAAAAAAGGGGCGTCAGCAATACGCCGATACTGTGTACTGGCGCTTCGCTGCCGCGCGACCACCACCGGTTGCACGTGCGCTAATGATTCTGCGTGGGTCACTCGGTCCCTGCATAGACTCGATTCCGCCGGCTTGTGATTCTTAAGGCTACGGGCCGGCTAGCGCGAGGCACTCGCGGTAGTTGATCAATTCACTTACCTTGGCAGCTGCATCAGCAAAGATGGGCGCATAAGCACTGGCGTCAATTCACGGAGCACAAAGACCATATTTGGCTTTTTGTGTCTGCGACTTCTGTGGCGTCAGAAAGCAGTTTTCCTTCAAGCTGCAAGCCGTATTTATACACCCACAGTGAGGACAGTCTTAATCTTGCAAGGGATCTTAGTCTCCCGTCTGATGTATCTTTGAGTTTTTCATCATCGCGTTGATTTGCACCATCGTGTCCGCAATGGTAATGTGCATAGGCGAATGCTAGACAATGATAATCAGGCTAGTTCCTTAGAAAACCAGATAGCACTGCATTAGCTGTGTTGGCTTGGACACGTACCTCGTATGCTCGTTCAACACTTTCCGAAGAGGAACTTGTTTTGCTTACCAGGTGTAGGGTTGCGTAACGTTCGAGGTCGACAAAAATTGTATTGGTAGCGAGAAACGACGCGAAACTAGGTGCAGTCGATCCGTCTCGCCTTCCACGCTGGAGTACACGCGATTCGACTAGTGCTTGGCTCGAGACTTTACATTAGATGGCTTGTACTCGATACCAATGGCGCGGATGCTGCCGTCTCCTAGTCGGTCTGCTTGTCTAAAGTGTATTGGGTGCTAAGTTATCTGCGAGGTAATGGCTGATTATGACGCGGGACAGTTAGAACCGCAAGGAAGTTGCCTCGCTGATTCCGCGTGATTTTTGCATGATAGCCAGCTTTTAGTGACGTTGCGTTGTTGATGCACCATATATATATATATATATATATATATATATATATATATATATATATATATATGTGTGTGTGTGTGTGTGTTGCGGGTCCTTCACACTCCAGCCAGGGAGCCGTGAGCGCTCGACCACGGCTAACTTTGAGGTTAGCTCCTTCATGCTCCTAGCCCTAGTCATACTTTGTTCACCTTGCTTTCGCTTCCAGCCGACTTCTATGTGCGCCAAGAGGACACGACGAGGTAAGCGATGAGTAGGCATGCGTAGAACGTGCCCAAGCCACTGAAGTCTGGGCAAGGAAATTATACTGCTCAGTGACCGGCAAAGTCTGTCTGATCTGAAAATTCTTCGTCAAATGTCTTCATTCGTAGTGTGATGTTGCCATCGTACACCATCAATGCTCCGAAGGCAGCGGTGATCAAAAGCAAACAGCCTCTCAACGTTCTTTGCGCGAACGGTCCAAGTCTCGCAGCCATAAAGGAGAACCGCTCTCACTGTGGCATTGTAAATTTGGCCCTTCAGAGCTAGACTCAGATCACCTCGACGGCAGAGATGGCGGAGATTGACAAAAGCAACCCGAGCTTTGGAGACGCGCAAGGAGACCTCATCTGTTAACCCATTAGTGCTGAGATAGCTTCCGAGGTGAAGGAACTTGTCCGCCACTTCTAATGAATGACCTAGAAGCGTAAAGTCAGGAGCAGCGCCTAGCCAGTCCTGAAGGAAAATCTTGCATTTCGTTGGTGCGAAAGTTATTCCAAACTGGGAAACAGACATCTCCAACCTACACAGAACATTTTGGCCGGCCTGTGAGGAAGTGCAGATTACGGCGATGTCGTTTGCATACTCTAAATCCCGAACTCGGTCCTCCGGAAGCAGCTCAACGGCGCTGGGTTCGCAGTTCTCCATAGCACTCCAAGATTTCGTCTATAGCGGAATTGAACAAGGAGGGTGATACTTGGCAACCCTGTCTCATGCCACTGGTGATACCAAAGGGGGGCGAAAGTCCGCCGTACACCCACAATCGGCCCGAAGTTAGAGTTGATGGCTTGAAGTAAGGTGGCATACTTCTCGGGCACTCCCCTTCTCAGTAGACAACTCCAGAGAGCAACTCTGTCGATTGAATCAAACGCGGCTCATATGTCTGGCCAAATGTTTGACGACGCTTGAGTATTTGGCGGAGTATAAAGATGTGATCGATACAACTTCGACCTGAGTGGAACTCGGCTTGCTCTTCACGTATGCTCTGTTCGCATACCAGGCTGAGTCTTCTTAGAAGCTGAGCTGCGAGCATCTTGGAAGCAACACAGATAAGACTAATCCCTCTGTGTTTAGCGCAGTCAGTTCTGGTACCCTTTTTGAAGACGGGCTCTATACCCGTTAGGCTCCAATCAGATGGGATAACTTCAGTAACCCAAATCTCTTGGAGTAGAGAAGTTAACTCCGGAACAAGTGACGTGCCACCATCTTTGTAAAGAGCCGGAAGGAGTTCATCTGGGTCAGAGGTTTTGTATCGCTTTAAGAGTCGAAGCTCATGGGAAACCTCAGCCTCGGATGGTGGTGAAGCGTCTACACACCAGGGAGCGCGCTGGGCTCCAGAATGGGAATTCATCGGTGCTACTAGCCAACTAAACTGCTGCTCAACGTGCTCGGCGCAATGCTCGAGTCGGCCTTTTTGACGGTGGAT